ACTATACCACTACAACTAATAATAATAATGATTAATATGTGTATGTCGTGCGACACGTGTTTTCATTGCGTGATTGCGTATATGAATAGTGAGCATACGCGTARGTAACAATAATTTCTAACCGATCGTATGGTTCTTTGTTCCATGTTCGTATAAAGTACGAACTAATATTCACGTGCGTTCAAATCGCGAATGACTGGAGTGAAGAACTTTAACTATACCTTCGRCCTCACAAGTACGGGGCACAGGAATAGAATTCGACAGTAACAGACCACATATTWTAAGTTAATGTATAACATTGAGATGTTTAGCAATTGCTTGAGTTCTCTATTCCGGCTAACGTTCATGATTTTCTGTAATGGTTACCTACGATATTTATTTTTTAAATAATAAGTTTGGGTTTAAAACCCTAATGAAAATATTTACACATTGCATAATTACAATATAGCACATTAACACTCATAACAGATTCTACAAGTTGTTGGTTATAGTATTTTTTTTTATGTAGTGCTGAATGTTTTTAATGATTCTACGATGCAAAATTAATTATATAGGGTGCAGAAAACCCTCAATATTTTATACGACTATTTAGTTGTATAAATATAGCTCACAATTTATTTGACAATTTTTAAAATGTATTCTACGTCAGCTAGATTAAATTTATTACCAGGAGAYTATTGAAACATGTCCATTTCCTCCCCGATATCACAATATAATAAATTACTGTAGCTAACGAAGAAACACCTGATAAATAATTTTAAAATTAAATTGTGATGCATARGTTAGTAAAATCGAGGTTGGATTATCAAACAAATTCGAAAAATAGAATACTAAATATGTGGACAAAAAAATTTCAGATTAAATAGGGTATAAAAATGGATGTGAGTTATGTATCAGACAATAGACAATACTACAAAAAAAGAGGTGAAAATATTGTATTACAATTTAACCAAAATAGTTGATTACTACATGGAATCATCGTTGTGGCTGTAATACGATTGTGCGCGGTCCTTATCAACGGTACCTTTTTAGGTGTACGATTGCGCTTGCTAAATTATTTTTGCTTCTAAGCAACGTTGCCAAATATACAGATTATAGGTGCATGGTAAATATCCGAACTTTTTAGGTAGATTAAGTGTGAATATAAAGTATCTGTTATTTTTTGTAACTATTTGTACTATTTTTAACTTTTTGTACTATTTTTGACTGATTAATTGACACGTGATGCCACGTTTATAATGTTATTAGAAATAAATACAATAACAACATATACGACAAATAACAAATT